CACTACCAGTCAGATCGGCAGGCAGCGATCGATCCAGCGGGGATCGATTTATCGCATCTAGTCTAGACGCAATAAATCGACCCCCGAGCGCTCTCCTGTCGATTCTTATACTCCAGCTTGGCGAGAGGCGCAGGCAGAGTCGATGGGGGAGCGGCAGCAGTCGATTCACCACAGTGAAGACACCACAGTAAGTCAATCTAAGTATGTGGACTTCAGCTACGTTATTCACATAGCTGAAGTTGCATAACTTAGATCGATCCCCCCCGTGTAGACCAGACCTGAGGCAGGATTAAATATTATAGATCATCCCTGACAGGCATTTGTCTAACCTATTCTTAAAAACCTCCAATGATGGACATTCCACAACCTCCTTAGGTAATTTGTTCCAGTGCTTAACTATCCTTTCAATTAGGAAGTTTTTCCTAATGTCTAGCCTAAATCTCCACTTTGCAATTTAAGACCATTACTTCTTGTCCTGTCCTAGATGGATAAGGAGAACCATTTATCACCCTCTTCCTCAAAACTTTTTACCTACCTGAAGACTGTTATCATGTCTACCCTCCATCTTCTCTTCTCCAGATTAAACAAACCCAATTTTTTTCAATTTTTCCTCATAGGTCATGTTTTCTAGACCTTTTTTTCATTTTTATTGCTCTCCTCTGGACTTTCTCCAATTTGTCCACATCTTTCCCAAAGTGTGGTCCTCAGAACTGGACAGAGTACTCCAGTTTACTCCAGTTGAGGCCTTATCAGTGCCGAGTAAAGTAGAAAATTATTTCTCATGTCTTGCTTCCAATACTCCTGCTAATACACCCCAGAATGTTTGCTTTTTTTGCAACAAGATTACATTGTTAATTCATATTTAGTTTGTGATACACTATAACTCTCTGATCTTTTTCTGCAGTACTCCTTCCTAGGCAATCATTTCCCATTTTGTATTTGTGCATTTGATTATTTCTTCCTAAGTGTAGTCCTCTGCATCTGTCCTTATTGAATTTCATCCTATTTATTTCAGACCATTTCTCCAATTTGTCAAGATCATTTTGAATTCTAATCCTGTCCTCCAAAGAGTCTGCAACACTGTCCAGCTTGGTATCGTCTGCAAACTTTGTAAGCACACTCTCTATGCTATTATCCAAATCATTTATGAAGATATTGAATAGAACCAGACCCTAGACAGATCCTTGTGGGACTCCACTTGATATACTCTTTCAGCTTGACTGTGAATCACTGATAACTACTGAGTATGGTTTTCCAATGAGAAATTCATCCTCCTATTGTAGGTTTATCTAGGCTATATTTCCCTTGTTTGCTTATAAGGTCACGAGACAGTATCACATGAGACAGCCTTACTAAAGTCAAGATAGCTCTCTTCTACTGCTTCCCCCAATCCACAGGGCTTGTTACCCTGTTGGTTTGATATAACGAATGGGTTTGGGACAGGAATCAGAAACATGCAATCCTAAAACTATTTTATGAAGACTATACATAGAATTGCAAACACAGAGAGACTCAACTTCTCATACTGACACCAATACAGAGTAGGGACTCTAAAAATCTTATATAGAAAGAACACTATACACAGTAGTCAGCAAGAAAGAGGCAACTTATGTCAGCACACAGCTACAGAAATAAGATGGATTTATTCACAAGTGTACCTCTACACTTCCTATGCATGTTTAAATTCCTGATGCTTTTACACATTATGTTCACAAAGACTTCACAATCACAGCTGTTGGTGCCACAGTATGCTCTTGTATAAAAAAGGCAAGGATCCCTACTCTAAATGTCCAAATCTAATGCCCAGTGAAGTTAATGGAAGCATTTCCATTGACTTCAATGAGAGTTGGATCAGGCCCTAAGTGAGTATATATTAACAAGCTAACTATCTTTTGCAGTTCTTTAAAAACACTGAATAAAGTACTACTGCATAAAGTCAGAGTTACATTGTTTAGTGGAGTCAACCACAATTCTATTCAAGAGACAAGGAATACAACCCTGAATAGCTACATTATCTCTAGAAAAATTAAAGGTAGGACATAAAAAATTTAAGATAAATCTGGAGTGGAAATTACATTGCACAGTGCATTATAAATATTTGTTTTAAAAGAAAATCGAGATTAAGCAGAAAAACAGCAGATAGAAAAACAAGTGGAAGGAAAATCTGTTATGTCTAATAGATTGGAAAAATTATTCAAGGATCGTTAATGTTTACAGAGTCATTTCTGTAACGCTGCCAAGGTCAGTAAGACCTTGGGTTATCTGTCATCTCAGTTCTAGTTGCATAAGTAAACTGCCTGTGGGTAGTTTTAACTACATATTTAGCTACACTTTCCTGAAAGTTTTCTAAGGTTTATATTCAATGATTTCTTCTGGGCCCATTCTAGTTCTTTTCTAATTGTCCTTTTGAGACTTGCACATATTTCCACCATTGCCCCATCATCCTCTATCATCTTAGGTCTGATCCAATACCCAATGAAGTCAATGAGGGAATTCACATGGACTTCAGTAGGCTTTGATCAGGCCCCATATTTCCAAACCTAAAGAGTCCATGTGTACGAATAATGATTTTATGTAATAATGGGAAAGCAGTGATCTGCCACTTTTCCATTTAATTATGCAAACACAAACTGTGATCTTTGTCATAATGGTGCAACTACACTGACTTAATAGAGTTTTGTTGGTGCACTGAAAAGAGAATTTGACCCCCAAAGAATTTATGCAAAGCTTTAACTTAAGGAGAGTTTTAAAATCAGTGTACTTGGCTCATAACAGAATCACTTTAAGCAGAGATTAAAACTAAATAAATTGTCTCTTTTTTAAGTCACTGTTTACTGAATTATAAATCTTGAATCTAAACATACAATGAAACAAAAGAAATAACTAACATCTGCCAGATAATCTAGCCACTGAGTCAAAATTATCTGTAAGGAAAGTAATGAAGATTTCCAAAAAAATAATCTCATTAATTTCAGGGTACATCTGATGTACAAATAAACATTGAAACAACATTGTCATTAGCCATAAAAATGAAAGGGAGATTCAACCCTCCAAAACATGTCTGTAGAAAATTATCATTTTTATTTAATATTATAAAAAGGTTAAAACCCACAAATTTTACTAACTAATTTTGGACAGCCAAAGGTCCATTTAGGTGTAGAAAGGATTCTTACTCCAGTCACATAACCCTCTGACAGCTGCCTTAACTCTGAATAGTCACACCAGCACACACAAATATTACAGCTCAAATCAGAGATTTTAAAGGAAAAGGGTACAAGTGCTCACACTTAAAATCTTGCTGTTTCTACATGTTCTGATGTTTGACAGCTATGAACATGCTATGCCATTTTCTATTGTACTGAATTTTCCATTGTCACCTTTGAACACCAGATGGCAACATGAAATGCAATTCACATGTACAATACAAATTTGATTACTGTGAAAAAAAACCTCTGTTTATGTGTTTAGTTACTGTAGCTATGGGATCAAAACCCAGTCAAGTTATCTCCCCATCACCTCAAATACAAAACTAGACTTCTGGAGGAATTTCAAACATCAAAAATAAGTTTATAAAGAGGTGTTTTGGGGCTATGAAGATAGGGGATCCCCAGGCTTTTTCCTAACACTATTTTCTCCTTTTGTCTGTCTTTCAGGTCACTGGAGTTAAGGAGATTCTGTTGGAGCAGTTCCTGACAGGGAAGATGAAATGTGTGTAATAAGTGTGTTAACAAACAAAATAAAAACAAAACAAACAAAAATGTGCATATTAAAACTATATATAATTTAGTACATGGAAAGTGGTTTCTAATCAACAACTTCCTTTCACTTGATGATGACTCTTCTCTCTTCTCATTCAGTTTGGCCTCAGTACTGCCTTTGACATGATCAACTCAGCCCACTGGATCTGCACAAGTGTCTTAGATTCCGTCCTGTCATAGTTCTGCTCCTACAGTACCTAACTGTTTTTTTTCCATTATCTGGTGGTGCTTCCTCTACTCTACCAAGTTCTTCCTCTTCTTCTATGGAGCCTCTCAAAGCGGATTCATTAATTTGGAAATATTACAGGTCCACTGACATCTACAGGCAAGACTGTACTATTTACGCACAGCCCATAATAAGGAATGGCATGGAGCTGCACTGCCATAAGCATAGCAAGAGGAGGTAAAATGTTTCCCTCAAGCTCCCAGATGCTCAGAGGCTGCTTGCTCACCACTACATCCTTTGGCAAGCTCTGCTGGCCAGTATGTGAGATGGAAAAGCCATGGCTTTGCCTCCAGAAGAATATGAAATGAGTAGTCCCTACAACTTCCCCCAGCACAGGGACTGGTATTCGACCTGGCCCTTATGAAGGCCACTCTTCCTCGCACTATGCGCCCATATATGGATCTGGCAGAATCTGGGCCCAAGGTTACAAAAGAATAAGACTTTTTAATAAATGAAAACCAAACAATTACCATCAGGGATGTCAGCTTGACATGTTTACAAAACAAGACTTATGAGCCAACACACATTGGACTCCTCCCCTACCCTTTACTTTCTAAGTAGTAAGTTTGTCCTCAAAGTCTCTTCTTTTACTTCTCTTTTGAGCAAACATATTCATCCAATATCTGAAGTCTTTGGAAGAAGTGCTGGATCAGGCTAGAAGTGGTTGTGTAGACAAGAATCCACCCCCTTCTTTCAAAAAACGTTGTTTATGATTTGATTTCAACTGTCACATTAAATTAAAAGCCACTAAAATCAACTGAACAACAACTTTTCAGGTTGATATTAAATAATTCTAGCAGTACTATTTTATAATAAAACATTGTTTTGCATTTTGATAATGTATGGAAAACCTTTTTAAAGAATATTATGACAATTAGACATTGATTTATTTGGTGGCTAAACAGATTTAAATTTGAAAAATTAACCTAATTAATGATCCAAAACATTTCTAAGAACTTCACTGAGCTGCCATAATTTCTGTCAGCATATGTAGTACTGAATGACTAATAAAATACCTGAATTGAAACTATTCCAGTCTAGCAGTTTGTATGATCTTGTGTTACCCATAATTCCGACAAAGGCTGAGTTCAAAACAGCAAATTAGTAGATCAGTTATAGGAGCAGAATAGTGAAAAAAAACACTACCAACAAGAACACAATTGACAACACCACTCCACAGGAACTGGAAAGACACAGACAGCAGAGTTAATAAGAGGTTGAAATAGAAAGGGAAGAAAGTAAGGAGCATGCTATAGCACTCGGCATGATCAAGTGTACAGTATATAGCAATTACCAGGTTTTTTTTTCCTGTTTTGTTTTCAAACAACCACTTGAAATGTTCTTTCCTTTTCTACATTTTCCTGTTTATTTACTTGGCAGCTTATGTGTTTCCTTTGCGAGGAATTGAATCAAATTATTATTTGACTCAAAAGCTGATTAAGATAGCTCCCACACCAGTTACTGGGGTTTCCAAATTGTTTCTCTCTCTCTCTTAGGCATGATACTGAATTTGATGGATCGTGAATCCTACATTCACTTGTCAGAAGCAATCAAAGTTCTTCAGCAGATGCTGCTAGAGCCATTTTTGTGTGCAAACAGAAACTATTTAATCAGCATATGCATCTACCATCAGTTTTTCTCCTGCTTTCAGGCAGTCTGTTATCAAATGTTAGTCAGTAAAAAAGAAATGTGCATAGTGCAAGATGTTATTTCAGAAAATATCAGAATATAGTTGATATCTTTCCCATTCCTTCTAAGAATGTTTTTTGCTCTGATGCAGGCTTATAAGTAACACACACAAGTTTTTATAAAGAGAATACTATACCGATAATTTATTACACTGTAAAATAATCAAGGATTTATTAGTATCACATTTAAGGTAAGTATGTAAAGCCCCAAGCTAACTGCAAGTCAGGAGAGTTGAGGCCATACATAAATTGAGTATATTTATCCTGTAATGCATTAGGATATTTCTTTTCATCTTCTAACTATTGCATACATAGGAATAAAACAAAACCTTAGACGATTACAGGCAGAGAAAAGAAAATGTGTGTACTTAGTCACTTCAAAAACCCCTCAAAAATAGTTTTCTTACATTTATGTGACTCGTGAATTTTGTTTCACATTCTCTGTTCAAGTTATTGGTTTAAGACTCAATAAAATGTAAGTTATCTAGACCCATTTGCAGAAATCACAGATAGTGTGGGAAGTCAAGGACAGGTAAAAGATTAAAAAAATAAAAAAAATAAAGAGACTGATGCCTGAAAAAGATGCATTTGCAAAAATTTTAAAAGCTAATTACTCCTGGCTAGTGAACGCAAAACCACAGTAGATGCTATTTTTCTTTAATCTGCCTCTGTTTCAGGGGAACTGACCAACTCAAATCTTTTATTTTTAAGCATATTTTCCATTTGATTCAGTGAATAATACCAAGATGAAGTACTAACAGCCAAGAGCTGCTTAACTCTGATGCCAGAAATAGAGCATGCAAAATGCATTAGCGTTGGAGTTTCCAAGGAAAAATTATCTACAGAAAATTACTTTAAGGTTTTCACTTGTTGCAAAATAAAAAGTTGTTTCTGTTTATATCACTTAAGAGTCAAAAACACTGGATGAGCTAAACTGTGGGCAATCTTTCAAGTTTTTAAAAACTGCTGGAAATTAAACAAAGTTTAAAGTTAACATGAAGGATTTCATCTGCTTTCATGGCTTTCACATAAAACATTTCATTTCAGAATTGCATCAAAGTTAACATTAAACCTTGGCCAAAAATTAACCCACAGCTTCAAAATCCAAAGGCATTAATTCTGATTCTACTTTATTAGGTTCAGTCCCTTACTGCTTCATTACACCAAAAACATTAAGAAAAAATTGCTGAAGAGTTTCTCACTAAAAATCTTTTCCCCACATGACTAATATTTTTTAAATTCTCATTCTTATCTGGAAAACTACAATGTTGTTTTAGTATATTTTTTTTTTATTTAAAAAAAAAAATCCAGAAATCCAAGTGAGACATGACTGAAAAAAAGATTTCTTTAGTGAACATACCAGGATTGTGGATGCGGTCCAAAAGCTTCACAGAGCGTGCACTGACCACACCACCAACATGGACAAGGAAGCCAGGTGGAAAGGCCGTCAAGGTAAAAAAGGGAAATTCCTGTTAGGATTAAAAATATAAACAGCAGGTGACCATCTGTAAAACATTGCTGTCTGTCAATCAACATGCAGGAATTTATTATGCTCCTTGAAGTACAGGCAAAGCATTAACATTAGGCAAAACACTTATTTTAAGCTTATAAGCTTTATGCACTATATCACTTGTATGCCATTCAAGTATCCAACATAATGTGGTATTAGCAAAAGTATTCTAAGCAGTAAAATTACTTTTCCCCCATAGATTTGCATTCGGATATGGATATTAATTAACAACCCAAATCTTATTAAAATGTCGACTTTACAAAGCCTACATTAGCTTTTTTTTCCTTTAAAGGTACACTAAAAGAGTGAAATAAAAATGTTATTTATTTTCTGAAGTGATGAGGCTTAGTATTTAACTTACTTATGCCTCTGCACTTTTTAGTGCTGGTTACTACAACTGAGAGTAGTTTGGTATCCAAATTTTGAGTGGAACTGATTTTTGCTCCTGCAAGCATGAAGAGAACTTTATTAGATAAAGTGCATCTAACACAAATGCCAACGGAGACTGGTCTGACAGCACCAATGGCTCTGGATAAAACAAAAATTATTCACGTCTTTAGAATAAAAGTGAAAGATTTTGAAGTACAATTATTAGACCATTCTTTACTAGATTAAGAAATAGTCACTATCACCAATCATTCTAAATTATTTTCCTTAGACACATTTTTTACTATCTGCAGCAAAAATGAGAAAGCAATACTCCTCCATGTCCAGACCACCTACTCAAGACAGTCTCTGTGAGAAACAAGGCTAAGGGCTTGACATAGTTTTTCACAATGTATGTGCTGTGAAATAAATTCCTCACATTCAAATGAGATGGGCCCAAGATGGACAGATTTAATTTTATAATTATAGACATACATACTGAAATATAGCATACTTATGGGGGAAAGGAGATGGTTTTCCATCTGCCAATTCTACAAACAGAGAGGCAAGAAAATAATGAGTCATGCAACAATGGTTATTTTATACAGTTTTCATGGCTGATTAAGTGTTAAAAAGAATATTGTAATTTTAAAGTGATTGCCTAAATTAAGCATTCCACTCAGATTCTAGTCAACTGACAAAGGGCAGCTTAAACAGAGACTATCAAATCTCCCGAGGCAATGAGTGGCATTAAAAAAAAAAGATTAAGACTCAAACCCTGGAGTCACCCTAGGGTATCGCTGAAAATCAAAAATATTGCATTTCTGTTGTATGGAGGCATTAGAAAGCAGAGAGATTACAAAGAGTGACTCTGCAGCCATATACAGCTGCTTGTAGACAAGCCAGAGGACTGGTCAGGGTACAGACAGTGGGATTGGAACCTGCCAGGATCCAGTGGATTACAATAGTTTGTAGAGGGAGGAGCCAGGCAGCCACTACTACAACACAGTGTGTGCAGATGCTCCATACAGAGCCCTGTAGGCTACAAGGGGGAAGATTCCAGGCCATCAATATCTTTCTAGTGCCCTCACAAATCTCTTTTGCTCTGGCTTTACACAAGGACTGGAATGTGAACCTTTGAAAAGTATATTGATATTTATTTTCTCCCACATAATTCCATATCAATCTATATAATATTATCTCTTAATAATTTTATGTTGATAACTGACAGTTTTGCTCAGTTAAACTTTACTGGTTTTAAACACTAAAGATGCTAAGTAACTAAACTGGCAGAAGAGCTTTTCTATTGAGGAATGGACATGGTATTTTAAAACATTTCTATTTTATATGCATTTTAAAGGGTTTTTTAAATAAATTTAAGGCCATACTATGTTTAGGTTATATTAATACAGTAAACTATAAACACCAAAAGAGATTATGCTTACCCACCACTGAAAAACAAGCAGACCTTAATTATTATGCTTTTATCCATCTGGAAATGTATAAATTACTTCTGTCTTTTTTTTTTATTCCTTTTGATAACGTTATTTATTAAAGATAATGTTTAGTTTAGTTACAGTCTCCTGACATTTATTCTGCAGGGATAATCCATAACAACATATTATTAAAACAAAATGGTACGTCCACTAGTCACTTGTAAATTTAAATTAAAAAAAAAAATCAGGAATATTTTTAGTCAATGTATGTTATTTATGTCCCCAATCGTCAAGATACCTAAGCATGTGCTGAAGTGTCTACTCGGGTTCTGCAAATTCTGTATGTGCTTAGGTATCCTGCTGAACTGAGGACTATATCCTGTCAGATTAATTCTAGACACCTAAACAAACCTATGTAACTGCATCCAGGAACCCTCAGTGTTCTCAAGTGCTCTTATTTTCCTAAGAGTGATGTCTCATTCAGCTCTTATAAAACTGAGGAAGTTTCATCTTATTTGTGAGATAAACAACTTGGAGTGCCCCTTGCCAATTGTTTTACCCATACCACATACTGTATGTATTAGTTTGTATAATACTGCAAAATTTTGAATGTATATTTTTCACAGTACAACCCGGTCAAATATGGATCCCATAGTAACCAATGTTTTATAATATTTCAATAGTTCTTTCCTCTGTTATTTGACAGCTGACAATGGACTACCCATAAAACAGTGCCCAAAAAACCCTAACAAATATCTGCCATATTTAGGAACACCAAAGAACTGTAATTTATTTCACAAACGAACTAGCTAACCAACTGAGAATACTGATCATTTTGCCAATACTACTTCACACTATCATTGTATTACCTCTTATGCTATGTCTACATTAGGAACTAGGGGCATGATTCCCCTGCTTGTGTACACACACTCGCGCAAACTAAGTGAGAGCTAGCATAAGTACAAATAGTAGTATAGCTGCGGTAGCACGGGTAGCAGTAAATCCACCTGAAACCAGCAGGCATGTATTTTGCACAGAACAGCATAGATACTGGAGGAATACTGGCACTGGTTGAAAGCAATAACTGCTTCTAGACAGTTACTTTAAAACTGCCACTCCTGGTCAATTTGATGAGCTTGCAATAAGCTCTTCATTCATACTTATGTATCACATACTACTTCTACAATGTCTATAAAATGTAAGAGTGAGTGCATATGTACATGTGTGTGTGTTTCCAATCATTTATTTAAGTGTGTATGTGTAAGTACATATAAAACACAAAATACAAAATAATGAAAATATACTAGGACAACAGATCTCTAACCGTGCTCCATGGAGACCATCTTATTTGAAAACGAAGCAGTGGTGATAGAGGGTTCAGAGAAGTGATCCACAGAATGAAGAAGTTGGAGAACCATTGCACTAGCCTAAGCTATAATCATTAGGATTGCACAAGTGAAACTGAGAGCAGCATTTAGCTCCCTTTGTAAGAAATGTGGGCTTAATCCTGCACCATTAAAGTCATCTGGAGTTTGTCCACTGAGAAGGACGGCAAGAGGATCAAGTCTTATATAGAAATAGATACAGACACTTGTACAAAAATATGTACAAAGTATATACATTTGTACATAAAACTGTGTTACAGTTGCAAATACTGTGAATATACATCCTGTCACTAAAAACATAATATAAAAATTAATATATGTGTATATAGAGAGGATAATACAAGACAGCTATATATTTTCACAGCAGAATTGTTATCAAGATTATCCTTCCATCAAAATCTTTGCTGTTTCGAAGTTCAGGTTACTTGAGTAAAAAACCCAACAATATGATCCCTAAAAAAACCCTGGAAATGTCCAGATTAGGGTTCCCATACATCCGGGTTTTCCCAGATATGACCTCTTTTTTGGCCCGCTGATCGCCATCTGGCAGATTTCTGAAATAAGAGGAAATGTCCTGGATTTTTCCTTGCGGACCAGACATTGCAGCTCAGAAAAAGCCGCTTCTGAACCCCAATTGATCCCCTCCTCCACATCCGCAGTTGCCAGTTCCTGTTTGCCCCATCCTGGCCCGCCAGGTAAGCGGAGCTGCCAAGCGCCTCTTGACTGCCCTGCTACAGGTACTCAGGGCCAGGATGGGAGGGGTGAAAGGGCTAAGCCCCAACTCCCTGCCCTGGGGAAAAGAAGAGGCCCACAGGGAAGCACTGACTGACAGGCTGGCACTGTGTCCCGGGCCCGATCCAGCCGCCATGCCACCAAGACAGGGAGCACAACACTGCCCCCCACACTTCGACTGTGAGACCACAGATACCCCCTCTGGCACTCCCCCAATACCCCTTACCAGTACACACAGACACCCCTCCGGAACCCCCCCCCCAAATTCCTTCCCAGTACAACCTCCAGCACCCCCCAAATGTATCCTCCCTCCAGCCCCACCTGCAGTATCCTTTATTTGGGAACTTGAAATATGATTGCCCTAGTCCAGATAAAGGAACTTTCTTTAAAATTCCCTAATTCTCACACAGTATAACAACTAAATTGCACTAAGAGACTCTACATTTCCACAAGAGACTTTTCTGCACTTCCAACATATAAAGAAACAATGTGCATAGCAAATTTACTGTGACACGTTTTTCTAAATATAAAACGTTAATGTCATCTTAAGCAACACTGACCAGTACTTACAATTTAGGTATATAATCTTATACATACGTAGGACAATTTATAAGCTCCTGAAACCCTTTCAGATACAATTCTCCTTCTCTACCTGCCCCTAGTCATTTTTTGATGCTGCAGAAAGATGGGAAATGTGTAGCTAAAGGCATCTCAAACCCAAGGCTCTTGGCAGTAGAATACTATCACAGTTACGATACTCAACTAATATTCCACATGATCTGCTCTATCCCTAAAGGCATAATCTTATATAACCCTTTTTATTATGGCTGTCCATTAATCACAGTTAACTCACGTGATTAACACAAAAAAAAATCGTGATTAAAAATGAATCGCAATTAATCGCAGTTTTAATCGCACTGTTAAACAATGGCATGCCAATTGAAATTTATTAAATATTTTTTGATATTTTTCTACATTTTAAAATATGTTGACTTTAATTACAACACAGAATACAAAGTATATAGTGCTCACTTTATATTATTATTTTTTAATATTTGCACAGTAAAAATGATAAACAAAAGAAATTGTATTAATTCACCTCATACAAGCACTGTAGTTCAATCTCTTTATCATGAAAGTGCAATTGACAAATGAAGATTTTTTGTTACATAATTGCACTCAAACACAAAACAGTGTATAACTTTAGAGCCTACAAGTCCATTCAGTCCTACTTCTTGTTCAGCCAACCGCTAAGACAAACAAGTCTATTTCCATATATGCAGAGGTGAAAGTAAGCCAGTACGATATGGAACGGCATAGTGGCAAGAGCCGGTATGCCGTGCCGGACTGGACCGGCTTCTCCGGCGGTGATTTAAAGGGCCCGGGGCTCCAGCCACTGCAGGGAGCGCCGGGCCCTTTAAAGCACCGCCTGAGCCCCGCTGCCGGAGCTCCGGCAGTGCTTTAAAGGGCCCGGGGCTCCTCGAAGCAGCCGGAGCCTCCCCGCAGTGGCAGGAGCACCAGGCCCTTTAAATCTCCACCTGAGTCCTGCCACCCCAGGGTAGCGGCGATTTAAAGGGCCCGGAGCTCCGTGGTGGCCGGAGCCCCGGGCCCTTTAATTCGCCCCCGAGCCCCGGGGTTCCCAGCCACCTCTGCCGCTGGTAGCTCCTGGGTGGTTTAAAGGCCCTGGGGCTCCCAGCCACAGCCGGAGCCCCAGAGCCTTTAAATCTTGAAAGGCCCCGTCTCTTCTGGTTGAGGCCACGCCCCTGCTCAGGAGTCCTGCGTACCAGTAAATCCTTTAAGTTACTTTCACCCCTGCATATATGGGAGATAATCCTGCCCGCTTCTTATTTACAATGTCACCTGAAAGTGAGAACAGGTGTTCGCATGGCACTTTTGTATCGGCACTGCAAGGTATTATGTGCTAGATATGCTAAACATTCGTATGCCTGTTCATGCTTCGGCCACCATTCCAGAGGACATGCTTCCATGCTTATAATGCATTTATTAAATTAGTGACTGAACTCCTTGGGGGAGAATTTTATGCCTCCTGCTCTGTTTTACCCGCATTCTGCCATATATTTCAGGTTATAGCAGTCTCGGACGATGACCCAGCACATGTTATTCTATTTAAGAACACTTTCACTGGAGATTTGACAAAACACAAGAATGTACCAATGAGATTTCTAAGGATAGATACAGCACTTGACCCAAGGTTTAAGAATCTGAAGTGCTGTCCAAAATCTGAGAGGGACAAGGTGTGGAGCATGCTTTCAGATTAAAAGAGCAACACTCTGATGTGGAAACTACAGAACCCGCACCACCAAAAAAACAAAATCAGTCTATGTCCTCTGGAATGGTAGCTGAAACATGAAGGGACATATATTTGAAAATGTAGAAAACATCCAAAAATATTTAAATAAATGGTATTCTATTATTGTATAACAGCATGATTAATTTTTTTAATTCCTTGACAGCCCTACTTTTTATAACATGATTCTTCTTCACTAGGTATTATAAAGCTATGTGTTATTAAAACAGTATAAATAATAAAAACAAACTCTCACACTGAAACGCTACATGTGCCTGGCATTTTCTTGATCTTTTAAAAATCTTGTTTTTCAGATGCTTTTTTATTGAAATGATAGATCTACAGCCACAGAATATCTCATATGCTAGCACAAACAAGGGCACACAGGGAAAAGCTTTTAAAAAGTGTTAGTTTATTTTCAAACTGAAGCATTACAAGCAAAAGCTATGTACTTGTATTAAAATATAAATGAAAATTTTAAGTGAAATGTACAATCATGCCAAATATTAGTTAAGCAGAAGTATGTTGGTTTGTTAAATGTTCTTGAAATTAAAACAAAAAATATCAAAACCCCACATCAACAAGATCACAAAGAAATCTGGCAAAACCTTGCAAAAAAGAAAACACGATTTTAAAATGATTGTTCAAAATTAGAAAAGTCTTCAATACAAGAAAAAAAGAACTCAAAGAAAAAGGTCACACAATATTTTGAAACATACCCGCCTTCGACAGAACCTATGAGGCGATCCTTCCTTAGCAATGGACAACAAAATATGAAAAGACAATCATCCACTTTCTCATATAAGTAGCTATTCATTAAAAAAAAGTATATTTCATTTGTGTTTTTGACTGGACATACATTTGGCATCAAGTATGTAATTCGGCTAGATCAAAGCCCTTATTAAATGAAAACTGGTCTCCATTCTCTATTCCTCTAGAGACTCTGGATAGTGACCTTGTCTACACTAGATCTTACCTTGGTAAAACTTACATTGCTCAGGGGTGTGAATACTCCACATCCCTGAGCAACATAAGTTATGCTGACCTGAACGCCAGTGTAGACAATGCTATAGCTACCACATCTGATGGGAAAGCTCTCTCCCTTCGGCTTAGAGCATCTTCACCACAGCTGCACCACTGTAGCACTTCTAGTGTAGATGTAGCCAGTGTTAAATTATAAAATACGTTTTGAGAATTGCAATATAATACATGGTATAATATATAATACGTGTGTGTGTGTGTGTGTGTGTGTGTGTGTGTGTGTGTGTGTGTGTGTGT